CTACCTTGGACATGTGTGCATTCCACGAGCAGTCTTTTGCGATCTCTACTCCGAGGTATGTGTACTGGTCCACTACTGCAATCTCCTCGATCCCCCACTTCCATCTATGTTCTACTGGTTCCTCCTTGTTCTCGTTGCAGGGAGGGGGGCGATCTTTTTCACAAATAAAAAATAACCCCTGGGGGGGGAAGCCCCGGGGGGCGAACTCTCTTTTTTCACGGATCCACACCCGCTGACCATGTCGGGTCTCGGCGGAGCCTACGAGGACGCTTTCATGAAATCTGCTTGTTTCAGTGCTGATTATTGTTTTGGTCTGCCAGCCTTGTGTTCCGGTCATGATTTGTGTTAGAACACGCGATGCGATCTGCCTTGTGTTTTGTGTTCGCCGGTAGTCTATCACGAGGTACTAGTAGCTGTTCACGAGCAATGGACGAGAGCAAGACGTCCACGTCATGTTTTGTGGGTCCTGTGGTCTTGTGGTATCAGACGTAATCTAGTGGTTGCGCAGAGACGTTGATCTGTAGCAGTACCGATGGGTTGATGGGAAAAGTTTCAAAACGTTTGCATGACATAGTAATATGAATTCGGGAGACCTTTGAATGTGCGAATGTCGGATGGCAAACGAAAGACTAAAACAACACCAGCAATAATATGTAACTACCACAACCTCTTGGTGGTAACACGCAACAACGAGTTGCCGGAACAAATGCCGTCACGCCCCGGGGCTAGCCCCCAAAAAACAGCGTAAAAAGAACGCCCCGGGGGTAACTCAACGGTAGAGGGGCGAAAATCAAAACAAAACAAAAATGCATTTCGCCCCGGGGCTAACTCAAAGTTTTTCTGATCGCGAAGCGGATTAACCCCGGTTGGGGAGGTTCGCCGGTCGGGGGGGTAACCTTGAGGGGTTCACGGTACGTAACTGAAAGGGCGGAAATCCAATAATTTGACTCGAACCATCCGGCACACATGTCATCGATGCACGCACCCGCTTCCCCGGCATGCCACTCGCTGACAACCGCGTCCACAGACTGTGCTGTGTGCGATGAGGGCTACGCGTCCGGGTATCAGTTCAGCTGCTCCATCTGCGACGGCGAGAATTTACGATCGGCGATCGGTGAGCTATTCCACGGCACTCACAGCCTAGAAGATGATAGAAAGGGTCATGTGATGCACCAGTTAAGGACCTAGTCATTGAAGAGCCTACACTACACGATCAGAGCATCACACTTTCGCAATTATGTTGTTGAGGTGGCTTCAGATCCCGAAAGCTTCGAACCAACGGATATGGTGTAATTCCATCAATTGCCAGCCGTCAACGGGGGTGAAAGTGTGGTGCTGTTTCCTAGGGATATGTGGGTCATTAGCGCTGTGGATGCCGAAGGTTTTCTGGAAAAGCCGTGAATGTCTCATTGGTAGGAGCCATGATGTGCACCTGTCCGTTGTCGTGAGTCGGGACCATTCGCAGAGACCCCGCCCCCAAGAAGCAGCTAGAAAAAGTACAAACACGCGGGTAAATATTTTTCGCATGTAGGGGGAAATGGAATAATTTCTAGCAACAACAAACAGCCTGCGAAATTTAACGTGTGAGGAATCCAGAAAGCAGGATTGCCAACCATTGCCGACCATGCTTTTGGGAGGCACTGTCACGCAAGGGATATCTGGGAATATTATGAGACACAGAAGCTTCCAAGATCTTGAAGGAACGGGCAGAGAACCAATATTGGATATCCAAAAATCAGGCACTGCCGAACTGTGGAATTCACCCGGGTTGGAGGATTAAGTCAGAAAGGGACAAGGGGCAAGAAAACTAGTTTGTAAGGAAGAGCAAATAACAACTCGGGATCAACAAAGACGAGAGACGGGAGAGAGATAGTAGAGCACCTGCACGGTCCGCTCAATTGATTCCGCGAAAAGGGCTGAAACAGAGATTCAATTTCAAGAGACAGATCTGGACATACGAGAAACGACAAGGTGTATGGTGCCAGTAAGACGAGTGCAAAGGTGAGACAAAAGAAACCACAGGTTTTCTATCGTGCGAATTAAAAAAAGACTGGAAATTTGCAGATTACGAAATAAACTCACAAAGTGGAACACGGCGTCCTTAGAGGTGACAACAATCGCTAAACATTTGGTGAAAGCCGAAACTAAAAGGGGGAACTGTCAACAATATGAGCAATGAACGATGGGGTGGACACAACAAAGAAGCCGAATCGTTGTATACAGTGTTTTCTACAAGAAGAACGGACGATGTTTCGTATCGGAGGTGGTTCATCGGCATGCTGAAATGGCTCACGGAATGTCACAAATTAGTCCGCCCTCCCGCTCCATCGTGGCATCGTCGACGAAACAGGCACATCGGTAGCCCTGTTTTTCGTGGCGCTGGTTGGTATTGCCCTGGTGATCGCCGATCTTGTCCGAGTGGTCGATGAAGTCGAGCCCGACACGGCTTCGACATGGGGAAAGAGGCTGACGTCCTGTCGAGACCGAATTGTAAAAGCTGTTCCACTCACGTCGATCAAGATTGTCGTGGTTGCATGGCAGATTGTCACTCAGGTGAGAGAGGGTGGGATGGGACAGCTTTTCATGCGTATTTGTTGTGTAGGGTCGAAGTTTCAGCGAGCGGTGCCTTCGGCTATTGTTGGTTCGTTACGAATCCTTCGCTGCCAGGCCTGATCCATTTCGTGAACATTTCTTAGTGCTCCAAAATCTTTCGTCGTCGTGCGGGTGTCCCGGCGGCTCTGTCTTATGAATGGCAACAAGGTGACCGACGTCGAATCGATTTGACCAAGGTTATATCCCGCCCTTCGTTTTCCTGCGGTCCGTTCGAAAATCAACGCGACAGTTTTCGTCCGTGGTGAACGTGGTGTACCCGGACATCTACGAGAGCTTTCTGGCCGTGCTGAATGTGGTGAACTTCGATCTAGGCTTCCTTCTCTCCGTCTCCTGCATTGTCGACGTCAACTTCTACGGCCGGCTCTTTTTCACGACGGTCGGCCCGCTGGTTGTGTTTGGAGGTCTAGCGGCGACGTACGCCATATCCAGGTCCCGTAACCGGCACTCGCCCGCCGGGATGCAAGCTGCCAAAAGCAAGCATCTCTCGATCGCGCTTTTTATTTCGTTTGTCGTCTACTCTTCGGTGTCCTTCAATATATTCCAAACCTTTGTTTGCGAGACGCTGGACGACGGGGTGACATACTTGAGGGCGGACTACAGCCTCACCTGCTCGACAGGCGTCCATACGGCGATGATGGCGTACGCCGGCCTGATGATCTTGGTATACCCGGTAGGTATCCCGACCGTTTATAGTTGGTGGCTCCTCTCTAACCGACATGACCTCGTCAAGGTTGGCACCTCCGGCAACTGCTTGGGAGGGGCTCCCAGGTTGGACCACCTGCAGCCCATGCGGGACCTCTGGTCTTCCTACAAGCCCCGCCGATACTATTTCGAAGTGTTGGAGTGCGGTCGCCGGATAGCATTGACAGGGCTAGCTGCCTTTCTGTTGCCCGACAGCGCGGCGCAGGTGGCGATCGAGGTGGTACTCGCCGCCATCTTCATGGCGGTGTCCGACGTGCTGTCGCCGTTCGCGGACCCGTTCGATGGATGGCTGTATCGCACCGGTGCATGGATCATTTTTTTCTCCATGTACCTGGCTCTGCTTCTGAAAGTAGACGCTTCGGACGAGGACAGTCAAAGCCAAGCTGCGTTTGCGAAGGTGCTCATCGCGGCGCATGTCGGCATGGTTTTGGTGGTCCTGGTTCAAGCCGTGCTGTCGGTGAGGAGGGGCCTCGTAACTATGCGCGACCAGCCGGCCGCCAATCGGAGCGTCCGTGGGTCAAGTTTCGCGCAGGGTCACGATGGGAAGACTGGTGCAAGCGAATCAGAGCCGCAGTGGTCGAAAGAAATTAATGGAGCTGCTGGAAGACCCCCGATCCTAGGGTGAGCACTTGAGCTTTCCAATAAGAATCGCCGTCGTTAACGACATGTTTCCCGAGCGGTGGGTGCGGCAGCCTGCTTTTGCCTTTTGAGTATCAACATATTTCGTTTCCTTTTCTTGTGGTACCATACAATTGTAAGGGCCAGTGCAAGTGAGACTTTCGTTGGGGGTTGTATCTGACTTTAAGGCGATACCAGGGAAAACAAACAAGACTCGTTCGCCACGTCCCGTCGCTTGTCTTGGTGCGCTTGTCTCGCTTCCAAGCAATATACTGTGGTCCTACCTCACGATATGTAGGTGTGGTGATCTGTCCAAGTGTGGTGTCGTGTGGTGTCGACGATGCGCTTCGTAATTCTTGCTTCTTCGAAAATCATCTCGTCGCGATACCATTTTACTCTGCGTCAATGGGATCAGTGAAATGCCCGGAGATAGCATCTATATTATATGTAGTTCGGTAGACTTGTAAGGGTAGGTATTCCGTCGCCTTGAGCTTTTGTGGGTTTGGTGCGTGCGATTCGTGTGGAAATGGTTCGCTAGAATGGGTCTATCTCCTGCGTTTTTCTATTTATTTCCTGTCGTGTAGAATATTGGGCCGTTTGCCTTCGCTCTTCCAACTCAGCACGCGCAGCGGAAGACCTGAGCATCACGCTGGCCGCGAAGTCTTCTCGTTCTTGGTCCCTGGCTTTCCGGAGAGCTTCCTCATGGGCTATCTCGGGAAGCATGCCAGGGAATTCCGGCTTCGTTGGTGACGTTCGTTGTCTCTGGTGCGGGTGCCGCATCCAGTCATATCATCACCAGCTGCGAAAAACCTGAGATGGCTCTGCTTTTTTCTTGCCACCATCCTTCTTCTTGGCTTTCTTCTTAGGAGGCATGGTCGGGGCCTGGAGCAACGTACGTAAAGCGGGTAGCGGGCGGGCGTGATGTGTGGTGGATCCGCGAAAACACAAAAACGGACTGGGGCGCGAAAAATGATTTCGGAGACGAGCTCCTGTACATGTACGTGTTATTGTGTTGTCTGGCGACCCCCCTTTTTGATCTCGTCCGGCGAACTCCCTTTTTTTCCTTTGGGTGCCGCGTGCCGCACATCAGCGCACCATGCCGCATGCATTTTCACCTATAAATCGCGCCCGCCATCGGCAGTGACGTATACAGTAGGAAGAGTCTGCTGTAAGGTAGACACGATGATTACGTGCAGCAGCAAAACATTTTTTCTCGCTCTGTGCAACTCTGTGAGCCTCGTCGCTCTCTCTCGCTTAAAATCGTTCTGTGTGCTTGTGTACGGCGATTGAGGACGTGAAGAGCTTGATCAACCGCACGCGACGCCCTCTGTGATGGATTGATATGGATACCCGCGAGCGCTAGCATACAGTCTGGCTGGCTGGTAGGGTTGTTGCGAAAAACATGTGTGCGTTGTTTGTGCGCCTTCTTAAACGTGGAGTCGGAGATCGCCGATCGACCCACTGAAACTGCGGCCATCCGTCAACTAACTGGTCGAGTCGAGCGGTATGGTTGCGTGCCCCTGGGTCGGGATGGTCACGAACGGTCACCGCCGCGACGGGGGGGACCGAGGTTGAGTGACCGGAGAGAAATCCGCCGGGGTCAAGTTTTGTATACGAACTTTGTGACGGGAGAACTGGAATCAATCCCTTAGTTTTACTCAAAGGTTTCCCTGCACTTCAGCCCCCGAAAAGCAATATAGAAAAGTTGAAGCCGGAGATTTGAGGCCGGCAAAAAGACACTTCAAAATCTCTGCACCAACCAAAGCTACAATCGCCCTCTCGCGGCCATTGCCTTCGCACACAGCACGAACACAGAAGTGCCGCATAGTATGGCGCGTATCTCACGGTCACATCTAATGACAACCCAATAACAGGCCAAAAAAGAGAGAAAAAACGCGAAAAGCCCAAGGACTGCGCCAAAAAACGAACAGATTTTACGTTGAATCTACTGGTGAATAGCCCGCTGGCGGTGCTTTCGCTGTCGTCTAGCAAGATCCTTACTTCCGCATCCGCCAACATGCCACTCAAAGGAGCAGCAGCAAGCAGCAAACAAGGCGCTCAAGGGCAAATCCGCGACAGCGTCGAAGGCGGAACGCATGGCGAGAATGGCGGCGATGCTTCAGGAGGCGACCGCGAGGGCAGACTCCGAGCCTTCGGCTTCGCCTCTCTTTCCAAGTTCGACATCAAGAAGAGCGCGATCTAAGAAATTCACGAGCGGATGTGTAATCTTCTATCAGCCACCAGCTGCCCACCCGGCACATGCAAGAAACATTGAGATACGAATAACTACCAGACGTCCCCGCACTGTGCAAGATGGCTCCCCGTGCTTCATGCTTTATTGTTGCAGCGTGTGTGCGTACCTCACTTTTCGTTCGTGTCTGACGATGCGTCACGAATATAGCACCACCCCTCTCTCCCCACATTCGTGGACTTCATCTCACGTAACCCCTCGAACAAGGACTTTTCATCGTTCACACCCTCATCGGCCACCAAATGTGCTTTGAGAGATTGAGGGTACCCAAAGTTGTCCCTGGTACACAGATTACTTGAAGTTCGAGCTTCGCTTGCTTTGTGTCTTTTTTTCCATGTGTATCTCGGCGCCATATCGGTACTATTCCGAAATCGGCCAAGAAGGGTACTTAGTTGGTGGGAGGTTACACACGCTAACCCCGTGCTGCTCCAAAATCGGCGAAGGGAAAGGTACATGGTTTTAGGAGGTACACACCCATTGCCGCCCCGCAATCGGCCAAGAAGGATACCAAGTTGGTGGGAGGTACACACGCTCACCCAGCTGCCCCGAAATCGGCGAAGGAAAAGGGTCCTGGTTGTTGGGAGATACACAGCCATTGCCGCCCCGAAATCGGCCAAGAAGGGTACGTCGGTGGTGGAAGGCACACACCCAATAGTCTACTACCCAGTGCTGCCCGAATCGGCCAAGAGAGGTACAAATTTACCCAGTGCTGCCGTGCCCGTGTCCCGCATACGCTCTTTCCTCGCTGTCGTTTGGTGCCGTTGCACTAGTCGTGGTTCAATAGCAATCGATAGAAAACTATTCGGTGTCAATCGAAGCATTTGGTGACAAGATACCACTGTTCTTGATGTTGCGACGCACCGGTCCCGAACCGCAACACGTTTGGTTCTGAACTCAGGAAAATCATGTCCGCGGGCTCCCCTGTGTTACCTCCCACAACAAACACACACACCGGAGCGCAACGCAGACGAGCAGAGGCGTCGCGGACCGAGGCGACGGGCAGCTGAGGACCACGACTGATCTGCTGGGAAGACGAAAGGTGTGTGTTTTGTGTCTCCTGTGATGTGTGCGCGTCTGTATAGGGACACGCTGCTCTCTCGGCCGCGAGATACGCTCCGTCGCATTTGAGATGACGGCAGCGATTGTGTGGCCCACGAGACACCCTGTCACCGCCCAAAACCGACGGGAATGTGCTCATATGACGTGTCCAATGACTCTCTGCCCCTCGTTTATTATTATTTTTGCGGGCTGTGCTGTCTCACTTTTCTGACGCATAATGGTTGAAATGATATCATACGCTAGATAGCACCCACGCATTTGCAGCGCCGCCGCGGGACTGCTGTGTGCACACCTCCACCTCTCCGAACATTTTTTTACGGGGGGTACTCCCACCCTCCCACATAAAAAAAAATGAGTCCACAGTAGTCGCGGGCTTAAATATTACTTGATTTGAAGGCCTGGCCTGTGGCGTGAGCACGTTTTCTTCGATATCTCGGTACTGAAGTGTCCGATCGCGCTCATTTTGTTTTGCTCCAAGTGACAACTCTGTACGTGAAGATCCTGAATTTTATAAAGCTCGATTTAGTGTTCCTGGCGAAAAGTGTAGACGTTTGGTCATACCAAACCTCGCGCCATTTCGTCCGCTGGTCACGAAAATTCGCTCACCACGTGTGCGCCCAACCGATGCCGATTTTTTTGGGGGAAAACCAACGCAATCGGAGTTAGTTGATGTCGATATTTGAATCCTGATTGAAGCTTTACAGCAGCATGTTTACACTCCACACTGCTGTGCGCGTCCCCATAATTTTCGATGGCCCTGAAATTTTGCACAGCGATGTGTCTGACACTACCCCTCTGTGTAAAAAAAACGAGCGGAATCGAGGCACGTGGCGCTGTTTCACCGGTTTTCTCGAAACACGTCTGTCTTGAGCCGCCGTAACCACATACCCACCTTACCCACTTGTGCGCAAAATATGAAGATATTTCAAAGTTTATTTTTGCCGATGTGATAAACATGATCAACAGCAATCAAACACAACAAATCCGAGGTCAATCAGAGGCCTAGGGGATGAGATGTGTCAGTTGCGTGCTCGAATCACTCCGTGTCTTCGTGCACCCCTGGTGCGCTCTCACACACTCAACTTTTCCAGTTGTGCGCGAAATCTGAAGACATCTCAAATCGCATTTGTGATCGACATGACAGACTTGATCAATAGCAATCAAATACAAAAAATCCGAGGTCAATCAGAGCTCTGGGGATGAGTTGAGTGCTCGCATCGCACCGTGTGTCCGCACGTAACCCTGAGGCGCTCACACACTCACATTTTTTCCAGTTGTGCGCAAAATCTGAAGACATTTCAAACTGCACGTGCGGCCAATATGAAAGACATGATCAATAGCAATCGAACGCAAAAAAACAGAGGTCAATCGGACCATTTGGCGACGAGAAATCGGTGCTTTTATCAGTAAATCCGCCGCAGTTCTTGTCTGTGGGCTCCCCTCTCTCTCACCTCTCTGTCACACACACACCTCGTCACGCAGCAGCGCAGCGAAGCAGAGACGTCGCGGAGGAGGGCGACAGGCAGCAAAGGGGCACGACTGATCATCTTGGGAGACGAAAGGTATGTGTTTTGTGGCCCTCATCGATGCGTGTTTTGTGTCCCTGTGCACACACCTCTCTCGGCCGCTAGACTGACACCGGCGCATTTGAGATGACGGAAGCGATTGTGTGGACCACCAGACACCCTGTCACCGCCCCAAACCGACGGGAATGTGCTCCTATGACGTGTAAGATTACTCTCTACCCCTAGCTTTTTATTTTTGCTGCCTGTGCTCGTGTCTCACTTTTATGACGCACGATGGTTGAAATGATACCATACGCAATATAGCACCCCCCCATGGTTTTGCAGCGCCGCCGCGGGACTGTGCGCACGCACACTCCCACTAAAAAATGTGTCCACAGCAGTTGGGGCTTCAAAATTGCTTGGTTTGAAAGCCTGGCCTGCGGCGTGAGCACGTTTTCTTCGATATATCGGCACTGAAGTGTCAGATCACACTCATTTTTTTTGCACAAGGTGGGGGCGAGCCACACAATTGACGCTGCCAAGTGACAACTCTGAATTTTAAAGCTTGATTTAGTGTCTCGGGTGAAAAGTATGGACAATTGGCTGTGCCAAACCTCACCATTTCGTCCGCTGGCCCTAGCCCTAAAATTTTGCCGACACTTCTGTGAAAACAAAACGAGCGAAGTCGAAGCACATGGCGCTGTTGTACACATAAACTTTATGCACCACATGACGGTGGATACCACCCCTTGTCTACTTCCACGAAACCACACTCTGAAGGGCCCTCCCTGGATCACTATGGCGCCATGACTTGAAATGCGCCACATTTGTGCTCCCGTCCCCCGTTGTCCACCCCACCACATTTTTCCGATAAAAAACGACGCAGGTGCCTACGGGGGACGCGGAGAGATGCCATGGAGCGTATTATAGGCAGTTTAGAGGGGGCGTTGAATCGTCCAGCGTATCAGTCACTTTTTTTGCATGATTCGTCCTTACTAGGCCGAATCGTACACGTATCAGGCCATAGTATTTTCAAGTCTCTTGGCACAGTTCAAGCACGATTCATTTTTTTGGCAGCCTGGAGACTCCGGCTTATACAGTAGGCCGTTATGATACATACACATACTGAATGTTACTCGAACCGGTTTGCACGTACGACAGTGGGTTGTTGGCACGGAACAATCGGTAGAGAGAACAAAAGACACAACGCGATACATTCAGGTGGTTATGGTACTAATCTACACTGTATGTACCGCTGGTCACGCTAGAGCCTTCTGGTGCGGGTCATCTGGAGATGAGCCGTGGTGGTCAGGAGCCGCACACAAGTTGCGTGCCGTGTAGGTCGCTGGTGCGGCTGGGATACTGTATGCGATCGTTATGATAAATACACATGAATGTCACTCGAACCGGTTTGCACGTACGACTGTGGGTCGTTGGCACGGAGAAATCGGTAGAGAGGCACAAAGACCCAACGCGATATATACAGGTGCTTGTGGTACCACACTTTATATACCGGTCGTTACGCTAGAGCCTTCTGATGCAGGTCATTTGGAGATGAGCCGTGGTGGTCAGGAACCGCACACAAGTTGCGTGGCGTGTAGGTCGCTGGTGCGCCTGGGATACTGTATGCGATCGTTATGATACATACGCATACTGAATGTTACTCGAACCGGTTTGCACGTAGTAGGACTATGGGTCGTTGGCACGGAATAATCGGTAAAGAGAACAAAAGACACAACGGGATATAGACTATACAGGTGCTTATGGCACCACACTGTATATACCGCTGGTCACGCTAGAGCCTTCTGGTGCGGGTCATCTGGAGATGAGCCGAGGTGGTCAGGAGCCACACACAAGTTGCGCGGCGTGTAGGTCGCCAGTTCGGCTGGGATACTGTATGCGGCCGTTATGATACATACGCATACTGAATGTTACACGAACCGGTTTGCACGTACGACTATGGGTTGTTGGCGCGGAATAATCGGTAGAGAGAACAAAAGACACAACGCGATATATACAGGTGCTTATGGTACTAGTCTACACTGTATATACCGCTGGTTACGCTAGAGCCTTCTGGTGCGGGTCATCTGGAGATGAGCCGTGGTGGTCAGGAGCCGCACACAAGTTGCGTGGCGTGTAAGTCGCCGGTGCGGCTGGGATACTGTATGCAGCCGTTATAATACATACGCATACTGAATGTTACTCGAACCGGTTAGCACGTACGACTATGGGTCGTTGGCACGGAATCATCGGTGGAGAGAACGAAAGACACAACGCGATATAGTCGATACAGGTGGTTACCACACTGTATATACCGCTGGTTACGCTGGAGCCTATTGATGCAGGTCATCTGGCGATAAGCCGTGGTGGTCAGGAGCCGCACATAGGTTGCGCGGCGTGTAGGTTGCTGGTGCGGCTGGGATACTGTATGCGATCGTTATGATACATACGCATACTGAATGTTATTCGAACCGGTTTGCACGTACGACTGTGGATCGTTGGCACGGAACAATCTGTAGAGAGGCACAAAGACACAACCCGATATATACAGATGGTCACCACACTGTATATACCGCTTGTTTCTCTCCGCCTCCCCCCTCCTCCCCTCCCCGGGGGAGGCCGAGGCCCGCAAGTGCAGTTATTCCTCGAAAAAACCACCCAACAACGACGGATATACGGTCCCTAGCACCGTGTAGGAGAGGATCCTGAGTTTGGCGGTCGGGAGTTACCGCGGTCACGAGATCGAGGTAGGTCGTGATAAGCCAACTTGGAGACAGCTGCCGATGGGTTTGAACCCAAATGCCCCGGTTTGGACACCGGGGCAAGGCAGCGGTGGAGAGCACGGAGAGGGTGGCGGGATGATCGCACACCGTGTGGGTAAGCACCCAACAGGGGGACGGAAAGGGTCCAGAGCTGGAGAGCCACGCCGCTCCGGGACAGGAAGACACCTCGCTGGGAAAGGCAAGCACCGGGTTAACTCTTACATTAACCCGAGGATCCGCAG